ATTTGCAAACCTTGATTCTCATTTTCAATAAATTCAACTGCAGAAATACTTGTGCTAAGGAGAGCATCAGATGTCGACATGTGTCGAGGCTGAGAGTATGTGCTTCTGTATCTTTGAATGCCTTCATACCAATCGGATTCCCCATATGGAAAGAGTAATGGATATTGCAACGGATCATAACACCTATAATAGTAATGAACTCTATGTGAATCACCAGAATGTCCATAGATAGTAATATGATGAACATGAACATCAGCATTTTCATTGTCTTTAACCCATATAGCAGCTATTTGAGATGCTATAGGAGTATTGAAAACTCTTTAATCAAGTCCAGGATCGCATCATATTTGTATTCGATGGTCATGCAAGTTCGTCATATCACTTAAAGACCTAAAGAATTTACTATATGGATTTGTTTTCAAAATTTCAATTAAAACAATCAAAGTAGGTTCAGTAAAATTAGATGATATTTTCATACGATTTTGAACTTCATTATTTGTATCGTAAAAATATAGTTGCATATAAGAAGACTTATTGTTCTGGGGCACAAGTTGATTTATATAATGATGTACTTGTTCTTGAACCCTAAATGTGTAAATACCTTTATACGCTTTAAAGAAGTCTTTGTCGTATTTCACACCAAATGAAGTGAAAGAAAATGGTTATTATATCCCCTTACAATTTTATTGAATTCCATGCAGCTCAATTCTTTAGAGGTAAATAAATTATATAATTCACTTGGTGAGTCAGGTACTGATAAGTGTGTTTTTACACACTTATTTAGCTCACAAATATGACTTAAACATGAACAAAGTAGTTGAATTGTGACTAAATCTCGTTAAATTCATGCAATGTAGGTGTTTCTATGGAAAAGATGGAATTCAGAAGAAAAGAGCCGAAATGACCAAAACGGAACAAAGCGATAGTTCGAGGACCAAAGGTGCAAATATTGGGAAGTTGAGCTAAAGTGCAGAACGAGAATGAAAATACACCAAGTATGAGATTGAGGACGATACAAGACGATCGGAGGAAGAAAGAAGTAACATTGGACTGAATTGAAGAAAAGTGAAAGATGAAGAACTAAATTGCAATTAATCAAAAGATGAGCCGAGCAAGTAATCAAGGAATTGATTGACCCAAACATCAATTAGGAGTCAATATTTGATAATGAAACAAAGGAAAGAAAGAAAAGAGATCAAGAAAAGAGAAAACGGATTTCAGGGATCAAAATAGCAACGTTGTAAAGTTACTAACTTGCGGCCGCACATGAGGAGGCAGGGATATTATTGAGGTAGATCACTTGAACCATGTGGTCGCATGGTTTAACACCATGTGGCCGCATGGCTTTAAAATTCGAAGAAAATTCTGAACTTCCGTTTTCAATTGAAACTCTTTCGGGACTCCGTAAGGACATGATATAAAAGCTAAAATTCATCAGAGATAGGGCAGAACGTCCAGGGATAAGAAAAATATAACTTTTGGAGGCAAGAAACACGATCTTGAAGCCGATTCCACAAGAATTCAAGCGGGTTTTCAAGGTTTTGTTCAAGATTTCAAGAATTTTCATACGGGTGCTGTTCTTTCTATTTATTAATTTCATTTTTTTCTGTAATTATGAATATTCTAGGCTAGGTTTTCAATTATTAGGTGATCGATGAACCATTGTTTGTTATTTTAATTCCATATTTCATGAATTTAATATAAAGACTCGTTTAGATAATTTGATTGATTTATATGCATTGATTTTCTTCCGCAATTAGTGGCCAATGATTGTGTGAGTGTTGATGACTTATTGCTTACATTCAAGAGAAGTGGAATAGGTTCGATAAGGTGTAAATAAACATAAGGTCCGATAGGGGATAGAGATATACCCCTATGCTTTATGCAATTCTTTAATTGTTCACAAAATCACATGCATTCTTATATATTTGCATCATCCATAGAGATATAGGCTAGTGGTGTGCAAGAATAGGTCTAATATATATTGAGAGAATATACTGGATAGAATTAGGAACATTGAATTGGCAAATTTCCATCGGGTCATTAATTTTATGAAAGTAGGGTTTTCATAACTTCAATTGGGGATTCGTGATCCTAGTGACTTTAGTTTGATTCATTTCCATAAATTAGCTTTTGAATTTGCATAATTTCATTTACTTGAGTGTTTGAATCGTTTAATTAGAGAAATTTCGAAATTAGGGTTTCTAATTGAGAAATTAGGGTTTTTAGTTGAAATTAGGGTTTTTAATTGAAATTAGGGCTTTTTTCATTTAGACCATATTTTCACTCAATTAGATTCGGTTAAAGCTAGATTATATAGAATTGAACTACTCAATCTCTGAGGGACGATATTCGGACTTTTTAAAATCCAGTTTATTACTTGTTACGAATCGTACACTTGCAGTAATTTTAAATCGAAATAATTATTTCGTGAATAGGTACGAAAAGCTTGATTTTTCCATCAGAACAACAAAAACCTTTAGTTTCTCTATAAAATTTATGGGCATTACAATAGATGGGTGTTGGTAATATATAAGTAGTAGATGTCATGTTCAATCCATTAAGAGTTCCTTCTAATTCAAAATCACAAATATAATGTATTTGTTTATTTGAAGTAGAAGCATTAGGATCGTGATGCATTATAGATTCATGCAATTGGGGAACAACAAAAGAATTATTTCCCGAATTTATAGGCTCATTTATCCTTTTACGCTGATCAATACACCGAGTTCTAAGTCTTTTTCACCGATCTCTTTCTCTTTGACTTTGTTGTTGACGAATGGAGGTATTGTATGAGTCTTTCCCACAATTAGATACAATGTTAATGTTCACAAAAGCAGGGTCTTCATGAGCAGATGTTTCTAAAATATCCATCGCAAGAGTGGAAGAGACTATTGTATATTGGAATTCCAAGATAAGCAGTACAAACAAGAAAATGAAATAAAAACTATTAGAAAATTTGTTTCATATGCATGTAGGAAGAGTAAACAATAGAATATGTAACAGTGCATATTGTGTAAAAATGTAATAATTACATAACATGAATTGCAGTCTCTATAAATACAACCCGTAGAATAAAAATTTGAACAAAAAGATTAACAACAACAATGTGATTCTGAAAAAAAAATATTAATGTTGGACAAAAAATGATGAAAACAAATATTCAAGAAAGTAAAATGATGCATTTATAGAAATAGACGGAGTTTAATCATTCGTTTCCATGCATAGGTTGCATTTCTAATACTCTAATAGTATTCCTAAACAATTCTTTTTTTGGGAGCATAGTTTTGTCATCCTTTCCAAAAGCCTAGATACATAATAGTATATTGTTATCATATAAACTTAAACTAAAATAAAAAGTTAAATAATCTTTTTATCAAGACAATCTTTTTATGAAAATTCTACTTCTCTTTGAGATAACTGATAAATAAAAGCATAAGAAATAATAAAATGTATTAACTCCAGAAATGTTCCTAAATAAAAAAATAAATTTGATAATTTAAGTGTAGAATGTGAGCGCATGTGTCAATATGCTCAAAAATCGTACAATCTGGAAACTTTTGAACTCTTTCCCATTGTTAGTCTTCTCACCCCAAAATTCTCACACCAAGAAAACAAACAAGAATTAGGCAATCAAAGCAAAATCCAAAGTCACAAAAGTCCAAATCCTTTCACTTAAACACTGTGAAATAAGATCAATAATTAATAAAAGAATCAAAGCTTTTGAATTTGAATTCTTTGTTCTGAACCAAACCCAGAAAATGGCTTTTCCAAGATTCTTCATTTTCCTTCTTTTGATTGCATTTGCACCTATTTTGATAAAACTCAGGTGTGGAAATGCAAAATTGAGAGCATTAATGGATATAAAATCATCTTTGGACCTAGAAAATAAGTGCTTATCATCTTAGGTCAGTGAAGGGATCCACGCAGTGGAAAATTTGAAGGTGTGGCATGTAATAAGCACAAGAAAGTAAGGGCTCATCGGAAAAGTGTCGTCGGCGGTGTCGAAGCTCAAGTGTGTGCCCGGTGACTATTGAGAGAGAGAGAGAGAGAAATTAGGTTGAAGAGAAAACAGTAGAAGCCCGCTCGTTGCTTTTGCCCAAGTTCGACGAGTCGGTAGCACCAAATCGGACAACAAAGAAGGGAGTCGGCTACTGGCAGGGTTTCTTTGTTAATAAGTAATAGAATTAACAATGAGGAAGATATTTTGGATAAATAGTGTAGAACTAGTTAGAAACAGGTCCAATGTGAACACTTCGCCACTAGAATGAACAATAACGGGCTCGTTCTCTTTTTTATGAGTTATTAATTGTTCCAATGGTCACCGAACTTAGGTCCATGTGTTTGATTGACCACTGAAATTTAAAATGTCGATTTTTGGTTACTAAACTTAGGTCAACGTTTTCGATTGGCCACTGAACTTTGAAAAATGTCGAGTTTTGTCACTGAATTTAGGTCCATATCTTCGATTGTTCACTGAAATTTAAAATGTCAAGTTTTGGTCACTGAACTTTGAAATATGTCGTACGTTACTCACTAGCATAACTATTGAATTTTGAAAAATATCGAGTTTACATTGAATAATGTCCAACATTTTTAAAAGTTCAGTGGTCAAAACTCGACATTTTAAATTTCAGTGATTAATCGAAGACATGAACCTAAGTTCAGTGATCAAAACTCGACGTTTTTCATAGTTCAGTGGCCAAAACTCGACATTTTAAAGTTCAGTGGCCAATCAAAGACATGAACCTAAATTCAGTGATCAAAACTCGACATTTTTTAAAGTTCAGTAGCCAATCAAAGACATAAACTTAAGTTCAATGACCATTGGAACAATTAACTCCTCTTTTAAAGTGTAGGTAGATTTAATTATGAGCTGATTTTTGAAATGATAAAATAAATTTTTTAATATTGAAATTGTATCTTACTATCTTTCAAGTGTAATCCCTTGACCTAAGTCGGCTTAAAGCTCCAACCCAACGTCTCTTCAAATACTTGCTTCAGGCCCATTTAGATTTGTATACCCTGATCACAAAATTACCGCATTGCCACTCTCCTGCTCGACTGCCACTACTCTCGTCTATCTCCATCTTTAGGGTTTATTTTCCGAAGTCAAATCAAATGCAACAGTATCTATAAAAATTTCATCAAATTCCAACAGCGAAAGTGAGAGAATCTGAAAATGGCTTCTACATTTATGCAGCAATTTGCGAAAAAGAAGAACATTTTAAAGAGGTCAACCAAGAAGTACTTAGAAGAAGCACTTTATAAGAAGCTCTTTAAGGAAGGAGGAGAAGAGCAAAGGGTAGCCGAACAGCTAAATCAATTCTTGAAATCTCGCAAAAGTGCTTACAAATGGGAAGTAGGTCAATCCCTCAAGGTACTTCGCAGCCGCAAGCTCTACCGCCCGGCCATCAAGGTATGATATACAAGAACAGTGTACAAGATCCATAATTTTCCGGCATTTTGTGCGGTTTTATTGCGGATTCTGTTGTTGGTCAAATTTGAATGGGACAAAATATTTGAGGTCAGCCAAGAAGTTTGCTTTTCAGTTTATTATTTTCACTATTTCAATAGTATTGGTTTGGTTTTGGTTTTATCAGTAATAACGATTTAAATCAAAACTGATTAATGTTATAGTAAAACCAAAATAATTCTAATAAAAAATTAAAAAGATAATAATGAGAGAATCGAGAAGCCAATCTCAGACCTGAGTTGCCTTTAGCTGGCTTTTGAGGTGCTGGGGCTTGGTACAGTGATGAGTTGAGGGCAAATGGGTGGATCCTGAATTTGTATTTGATTGAAGGCAATAGGGGGATATGTTGAGGCTGAGGAAGCAGTCGAAGCAGCGTTTGGATCTTGGGGATTTGCCTTTTTTATGGCTCTCAAATAAAAAAACTCATTTGGGGAAGATGATAAATACAAAAAGAAGAAATGAATGGATAGTTGGAGAAATGCTAGCTCGATACTTAAGCTCGGCCATTCATTCTAGTATCACATTTTGGTGTCTGTTACAGTAACAAGCACTTTAAAATGCAATAGCAAACCTTTACAAGTGTAGCTACATTCAACTAAATAACTACAACATCAAAGAACACATTTTTTCTAGAAATATCCAGACAATTGACATTATTAAAGGGGAAAAAAAGGTCTCGTGTAGAAATAATCCAAGTTTTTTTTATGGAAATAATTTATATAAAATGTTGATTAGTTTGTTCTGTTAATTACTTGTTGCCTTCATTGAGTTGTAAGGTCATTTTTTATGATACAGAGATGCAATTGTAGCATTAATATTTTGATAATTTCTCTTTGCTTTTAAACTAGTTATGAACTACTTGATCCATTCTCCTATAATTATTTTCAACATTTTCTGTAAAGCATTTAACATTGGACCACAATACCTTATTTCGGAATGATGAAGTCTGACCTAACATTCTATCTATGATGTACATTTGAGATTTATGAACCTTTTATACTAAGAAATGCAGAAATTTATCTGTTTTAAACTAGTTTTATCGTGTTATTGTCACTTGTTGATGCTGTAAAATGTTTTTATAAGCAACAGCTATATGTGATATGACATTACTGAGTTTTACAGCTATACATGTAAATGTTTTTATAATGCTGCATTACTGTGTAATACATTTGCATGCAAAAGACAAACATTTACATGTAGAAGTAATGCAACCATGATTTCTTCATTTCTTCCAAATCCAAACTCAATATATCGATATGATCTACACTTTTTATTCCAGTTGATATAGCCCCCGTTTGGGTCCCATTCTCTCTCTCTTTTATTTTCAACCACACAATCTTTCATAAAATAATATTACACATAAATCAAAAACTTTTTATTCTTTTTCAACCACACATTTTTCAAAAAAACACTATTCCAACCATTAAAATTTGGATAGAATTAGGCCAAACGGGGGCATATTAATAACTGCAGTTGCACCGATACTGAGTAACTTTACAATCCTTACCAGTATTGATCTCCGAGATGTGTGCATTTGTTTTACACATTTCATTTTTGGTGTGATTGTCTGCTGAACACAACTTATTTGTTATATATATACACACAGCTGTCTGAGACCATGACGAGGAGGGGGGTGAACAAGACAATAAGTGATCAAGCGATACATCTAGATCTTGTTGCAAAGAGTAGGGGAATTGCTGCTGCAGAAACTTACTTTATCAATCTGCCTGAATCCTCGAAAAACCATCTCACCTATGGTGCTCTTCTTAACTGTTACTGCAAGGATTTAATGACTGAAAAGGCCGAAACTTTGATGGAAAAGATGAAGGAACTTAATTTAGAGCTAAGTTCCATGCCCTATAACAGCCTCATGACTCTCTACACAAAAACTGGGCAGGCAGAAAAGGTTCCGGCGATCATCCAAGAAATGAAGTCATGTGATATCATGCTAGATTGCTACACCTATAATGTCTGGATGAGGGCTCTTGCTGCTATGAACGATATATCTGGGGTTGAGAGAGTTATTGATGAAATGAAGAGGGATGGCCGAGTTGCTGGAGATTGGACAACATATAGCAATTTGGCATCTATTTATGTTGATGCCAGATTATTTGATAAAGCTGAGAAGGCACTTAAGGAACTGGAGAAGCTAAATGCTGTACGAGAATTTTCTGCTTACCAGTTTCTGATCACATTGTATGGACGTACTGGAAATCTGCTTGAAGTATACCGTATCTGGCGTTCATTGAGGCTTTCGTTTCCCAAAACCCCAAATATAAGCTATCTAAACATGATACAAGTGTTGCTTAAGTTGAATGATTTACCAGGTGCTGAGAAATGTTACCGGGAGTGGGTATCTGGTTGCTCAACTTATGATATTCGAATTGCAAATTCCCTAATAGGAGCTTATCTTAAAGAAGGTTCATTGGAGAAGGTTGAGGCACTCAAGGCACGGGCAAAGAGGAGAGGAGCCAAGCCCAATGCTAAAACTTGGGAGCTTTATCTGGATTATTATCTGAAGAATAGAGAGATTGAATCAGCAGTAGTTTGTATCGAAAATGCAATTTTAACCGGCAGGGGAGATGGTGGTAAATGGACCCCTTCACCTGCCCTTATTGGAGAACTGATGCGACATTTTGAGCAAAACAAGGATGTCGAGGGTGCTGAACGTTTTCTGGAGGTTCTGAAGAAGTCAAAAGACGATTTGGGATCAGAAGTACTTGAATCATTGATAAGAATCTATGCAGCTGCTGGAAAAACAAGTCCTGTCATGCGTCGCTGGATTAAGATGGAGAATGTAGAATTGAGCGAGGAAGGTATAAAATTACTGGATGTCGTCTGTAAGGAATGAGATCTTTTAGCTAGACATCTTTTTGTGTATGAAAATTTCCTTTTAAGTTTCAATTTAAATTCCTTGCCGGTTATAACACACTCAGTACGTTGGTAGTGAAGATTTGCTATGTCACTTCAGAAGCTGATCTGTTCATTTGAACTATTTCTTGTGCATTCTAGTGGTCTTCTGTGCCCATGATAAATTTTGAACAATCTCATGATCAAGTTTTTTTACCTTTAACAGCCATAATTTTGAAATAAAAGAAAGTTTAGTCATACTATTTTTGTGTTTAGTCATACTATTTTTGTACATTTAGTTTGGACTGTTTTAGTGTCTAATTAACTTAGGATCCGTTTGATTGTAAGAATGGAATTTGGGTGGAAAGAAAACGAATTCCAGAGAATTGAATTGTTTAGAACTTGTTTTATTGAAAATTGTCAATTAAGTGTGTTTGATTGATATAATTTTTCACTCGAAAAATGTTGAAATTTTTGATCTTTTGATGTTCATTTGATTTTGTTTTTCATGTAAATTGTCAATTAAATAAATAAATTTTTTTACAATTGTCTTTAGAATTTGTTTCCATTACCAAAAAATAAAAGAAAATAAATAATAATAAAAAAGAACCTAGAAAAGCCAATTCCCACCAAAACCATGGGAATTGATTTTCCACCAATTCATGAAAATTGAGGTCACGTGGGGTGAAAGAGAGAGATTGAATTTCACGGAAAACTCTCCCAATCGAACAACAAAAAGGTGGAAAACTCTCAAAAAATTTCCTAGTTCCATGGAAAATATTCCATATCAAACATGGTCTTAGATTTTCCCCCATTACTCGTACCTAAATCTCATGTTGCACAAACGCTACTAGAACCTGTAATATGTAACCAAGGTGTACTGTAGACTTTGATTTTCTTCTTTCTTTTATCACATAAGAGCCGTGTTAGATGAAAGTTTCATGCACGATTTTGAATGTGAGAAAGAAGTGAGATATTCTTTTTTCAATTCCAACTCTTCTAGTTTAATCGATGTTTTTTCTTTTTTTCTCTTTTCCTATCACTTCAAAAGTAGTGTGCTTCAGTTTCAACCATTCGAATTTTCGATATTACTTATATTTGTCATCAAACAAATGGCATGTTCCCTAGGTTGTGGAAGACAATAAAATCATGAAGTATAATTCATCTGTTTTCACTCAATTGGTCCCAACAACCTTAGGTCTCCATGACCTCCAGGTTAGCCACTTGTTCTCTCCGGTTACATGATCAACAAATCTCCTCTTTAATAAATTTTGTGCCATAGATTTCTCGTTTTCCTTTTGAGGGGAGTTCTCTACAGCAGCCTCAGGACTTCCATTGTCATTCTCCTCAACAATCTGGTTCACCATCTCGAGAACTTCGCTCATTCGTGGCCGCTTTTTGGGACGTCGAACCAGACACCTGTTAGCAATTGCTGCTAGCTTTTGAGCAGACTTGAGGGAATGTTTCCCGTCTAGTCGAGGATCGAGAATCTGTTCAAATCTTTTACCGTCAGCAAGATGTGGCCTAACCCAGTCCAAGAGCTTTTGCTCATTTCTAGGTCGATTTCTATCCAGAGGCCGTCGACCGCTGATGAGTTCATACAAAAAGACCCCATAACTCCAAACGTCACTCTTCACTGTAAGGTGCCCTGTTTTTATGTACTCTGGAGCAGCATATCCTACTGTTCCAACAACCTGTTGGATGGAAAAAAGTTCATTAGCAAAAGTAAATTATGACAGTCTGAGCACAATCGACCACTATTGTCGTATGAACTTGTGTTAAAGTTATTACTAAGTTTTAGATGAATAGTATGTACCGCTGTGGAGACGTAGCTTATTCCATCTGAAGGACCCAACCTTGCCAATCCGAAGTCTGAAAGTTTTGCGCTCCATTGATCATCCAGTAAAATATTAGATGACTTGAAATCTCTAACTATAATCTGCATCAAAATAACTCATATTTCAGTATTATGAAATTATTTTGATCCATCTGTGCTAAAGTTACTAAAACCAGCATTTACCTGAAACTCCATGCCTTCATGAAGATATGCCAAGCCTCTTGCAGCATCTTGGGCTATTTTCAATCTAGTAATCCATGGCAGAGATGCCTGAAATCGACTTGATAACTGGTCTTGAACGCTACGTTTAGACATATATTCGTAGATCAGAAGGCGTTGCATCCCCCTGTCGTCGTCCTCAGCACAGTAGCCTATAAGTTTGACAAGATTTGGATGTTCGACAATGCCGAGAACGTTCACTTCTGTCACCCATTCCTTGTGTCCCTGCAAGAAATGATGATTAACAAAAAGAAAAACTAAATTAAAACAGATTATTAATTGAATATGGATCCTACAGATGATAGGGATTTAAATTCTAGCATGCCAACTATTGGATGGTGAAGTATTTAAAGAAAATGATAGATGTTTGGTATGCCAAACTGGTTCTCTCTTTAGTATTCGATGCTATAACGTCTTTGGAAATAGACGGCATTACAAATAACAAGAAAGAAGGCTTGCCTGCAACCCTCTTCTGCTGAGTTGTTTAACAGCAATATCGATCCTTTCTGTCTCTCTCAATACACCCCTATACACGGGTCCAAATCCGCCTTCTCCAATCATAAGGGAACGGCTGAAATTCTTGGTAGCTGTGTTCAGCTCTGCAAATGTGAAGACCCTAAGCTTGCTAGGTCTGAGGGACAAACTTTTGAACGAGAACCTAACCGAGGATTCAGTGCTTATATCGGAAATGTTCTGATAGTTGTAATCAGATCCAGATTTCTTCGTATCAGGATCAGTCGATGCAGATGATGTAGATGTAGGAATAGGAGTATACTTTGATGTCTTTTGGTCTTCATTTTTAGTACCATTGCAGAATGGAAAACACCTCATATCCTCCCAAAATCTCCAGTCCTTGCTGCAGATGCACATCCATGAAAAAATTCAGAAGGGGAACAAAGAATGTTATTACATTGTCACAAGAACTCATAGGACTGGGACTGGTATATGTTGTGTCTAATACTGTGTAAAAACATACCCTTAACTGCTAGTAATTAAATCCAATACAGAAATTTTTATTCAAAAATGTTCATGACAAATTACTAACATGAAAAAGGGCACACAAGAATCTGAAAGAAGAACCCTTAAATTTAAATAATAATGCTCAATTAATTATTGACTTCTGGGGGCGTAGGCATGCATGGGAAGAAATATCATTAATCATCATAAAAAGAGAATTTAAATTAAATCATCATTCTGATCTTATGTTGATTACCAAAACTCACTCTTTGAAATTGAAAGCTCAAAAAATTCTGAATTTTCTCAAGAAAATATGTAAAAAAAAAAGCAAAGATTAAAACATCACCAAAATCCAAATATAAACATTAATGCAGAGACAGAAAGTTTTTACCTTTGAGAATGGGAGAAACCAACAAATATTATGAACATCTACTCTTCATTCCGTGGCTAGCTAGTTTTCAAACAAAATAAATTAAAGCAGTAAAGGGTATTTAGAGAATCATGGGTAGCAACGAGGACCCCATGATATATAAGGAAGTCAATGCTCGGTAGCTGGAAATTTGCTAACCAACCTATTTGAAAACGACACGGATAAGCAGATATACGACTTGTCAAAAAACTAGTTTGGCTTTCTTTGTTATCTGTAAGAAAAACAGTTGGGGAAGATGAATGAAGATGTCATATTCTTGTTTTGACATATGTACTGCTAGATAATGAAAGTATAGTCTGGGACCAAAATTACACATTTGCAAAATTTTAGTACAGACTTACATCATCGTACCAACCCAGAAACTAGTTTCAGATTGTGCCAGCTGAACTTATCCAAATGTTTGTCTTATGTCAGTATGACAGGACAAATAAGATGTATTATTTTTTAAAAATGGCTACATATTAATAGGATTTTTAAATAATATATATATATATAAAGAAAGGAATTATAGACTGAAATATACTGTAGGTATTTTTATAAAAAAAAAAAAAATTACAGATGAAAAAATTCAATGGTAATAATTTGATGTTTATATCTTTTACTCTTTATAAGAACAATATAAGAAAGAAAAAAAACTGGTTTTTTTGGAATTTCATAGTTTTTTTCTCTCCCATTAGCCAGCTTATCTCAAATTACAAGAAATTCAAATAAATAATAAAAAAAGGAAAGTTGATTTATTTATATGTGTAAAAAATAATCATGATGCTTGACTTAGCATGCTTTTAATTAAATTAATCAGTTTGTGTAATAATATTTTCCAATCTACCTCAGTTTATAGCTACACCATATACATACATATGTACGTAAAGATATTACTCTCGAAGGTGGGGATGATAACGTGACTGAACATTAAAGTAAAATATCTTCATTTCTTGCTCAATTTCTCCATCTACTTATTTTTATTTATTTTTTAGTTTTTCTTATTTCTTCAAATATGACTTAAATTTAAAAGCATAAAAATATATTAAAAAACAAAAAAGTAGGGGTTATGAATCTATCTAATTCAAAAGGGGAGAAATTTAGTATCTCAATTTCAATGCATCAAAACCTAGATTCACGGAAGAACTTACGAGATATCAAGATAAGAGAATCGAATTGACTCTTTTTCAAATTCGATAAATGTTGATTGATCGTATATTTCATTACAGTTCTATGATTCAAAGCATCCATTCCTATTTTATTCCTTTGAATTTCATATACGAATTTGTGATTAGATCGATTCATTAAAAACCCATCCTAATCTTGATTCTTCAACAAACTTGGAAATCTCCATCCAATTTAGAGAAGGACAATATGAAACTAAGTAAGAACAATATATTTTATAATTCCTAGTTACTATAAAACTCTTATAAGTCATTAACTTTATATTGTAACAAGAATGATTAAGAGTTGACAAGGAATGGTTCTAGAATGCCTTAAAATGTATCCTTTTCATTCATTCACTCTTTCTTTCTTAGAAAGACAGCAAATTCATTGACTCACGAGGATAACATTACAAGTGTTTTGCACCCAAACAAGTAATGGGCTTCGTGCTGTTCCATAATAACTAGCCTGCTTTATTGGAGGCCCATTTATGATAAATTCTTGATTTCTATACGTGGAAATTACACAAATCTAGGGGTTTAAACATCATAGTTCAAAAATCATGGCTTAAGTTTTATTATGCAAAAATCAGGTTTGATATAATAATTTAAATACTAATTTCTCTCAATTCAATTTCCCCAACCCTAATTTTACGTTATGTTTTCTCTCTCTACCGTCTTCATACTCTCCCTTCTCTCTATCTTGAAACACCATTGTCGCAATCATCGGCAACGATTCACGACGACGACGATAACGACGAAGGCGAGTCTTGGAAGAAACCTCCTCAGTTTTGATGGTGCAGCAACACTCCTCTCACGAACGGAGAAGAATCACTGCCCCCGTTTTCAGATCAAATATGGCGACTAGTTTTTGCATAACGTTGAGCGGCGATTTGTTGCGAGAATCATGATCGGTTGCAATCTGTTGCCGGACATTGAACGCTAACAGTCTCAGGTGAGGCGTTGGTGGTGGTGGACAATGTTAATGGTGGTGCGGTGGATACCGTGGATTTAGTGGCGATTCTATGTGATCTGCCTGTGGTTGAATGTGTGATGGTGTTGGTGGTAATGTGTGTGGTACCTCTAGTAGTGTTGATGCTATCGTGGTGGTTGTGTGGTGTTGGGGTAGTGGATATGCTGGTGGTGGTGCAAGTAGGAATGGTGGTGTTTTTTTGGTTGAGGGAGCGGTGGTGGTGTTTTGGTTGTGTCGGGGAAATTGGGTGGTTATTGTTGTTAGTGGAACTGGCAGTGGTGGTAGTGTCGGTGGCGACGGGGTGAGGGTGGTGGTGGTATGTAATATGACCAATTATTTGACCTGTGATTGATTGTTTGATTATCTGTGACCAACTATTTCATTACATGTGACCAATTATTTAACCATAACCTTAAAATTTGATAATTGTGACCAACAAATTCAAACATATGTGATTGATTAATAAACTGTGACCTATAATTTTTTCATCTATGACCAATTAAATAAATCGTGACCTATAAAAATTTTCATTCGTGGCCTCGAAATAATTTGTGACTAGTTAATTTGATAATACGTGACCAATAAACAAGTTTGTGACCTATAATTATGAATATGTAACCATACGATATATATGTGACTTTATTATTTTCAATTAATAAAATCTATTTATTTAATAAATGAAAACCTGATTTTTGCATTTTCAAAACTTTAGACATGAAAATTGCATTGTCCATACTTAATACCTTAATTGTGAATTTTACCCTTTCTATATTCATTTTGTATATTTCTATTTTTTAAAGGGCTTCCCCACCTATGATTCCACAACTTATTTCAACAAACATAAAAGTTATGTTTTTACGAAAATACTGTAATTTAAGCTTAATTTTACCAAGAAAATTAAGTAAAAAATTACTTTTGATTTTTAAATACTATTATACATGTTCAAAATCGAGTTCTAATTATTTTATTAGATAGCTCCAAGTAACAAATTGCGATTTAAACGTGTATAGCTCTCTTGTTGGACGTATTCAGAATGTGCATTGCACTGCCTTAAATGGAAGAAGTCGTTTCTTAATAAATGCAGATTTGATTTTGTTGTCTCATTTAATTATTGAAAATGTTGTATGCACAAAGTTTGGGCACATGGAGATTTAATTAAGAAAGTCCATGTCTACCTGCACAAAATATGATATTTTTTATTTGATATTTAAGTTTGCACCATCTGTCACCTAGAAAATGAGTATGGATCTAACCCCTTCATTATATGAATATTATTTAGCCAATGTTTGGCACTTGTAACCTTCTTCTTTTTGATCGGACAACTTGCTTTTGTCTAGTGACACAAACACACTCTTTACAATGCGATAATGCTCTCCCAAGCACCATCCAAATTTTTTTGGATGTGCTATCGAACATTTATTTTGAATTCAATTATTTTCTTAACACAATATACTTTGGATTGATTTGTCATTCTCACATATTTGCTTGTGTATCCAGTCCATGTTATTTGTAAATATGGTTCATTGTTTAGGGGGGATTTCGCTGAATATTATGCCATGATCAAGTTATCTAGAGCTCAACTATTCAGTGCCTTCGATTTACTATTCTCATGCTATCTATTTGTATGTTTTGTCATAGTGTTATACACAAATGTTGTGTTTGCTGCAAGACGAAAGATGCAGGTTGAAAGAAGATATATTTGAGATTTTAATGTGTTTCAAAGACTGATAAGATGCATACTATCAAATTCAAGATAAGATTGCAAGTGCAATTTTTGAGGATTTCCGTTAATTATATTATTGATGAATATTCCGAGGATGGACGAGTCGATCCTGAAAATTTTCAAACGGAATTGGCCGTTAGGATTATTTTTAACACAATGACAAGTTGATAAAATATTCTGTCATTTGTTGTCATTGAGGCCATAGATTTTCATAAAAAATTACAAACAAATTAAAGTTCAAATGCAACCAATCAATTCAGTTGTCCAATTAACAAACATACTAATCTTTAATTAAAATATAAATATTAGATTAGTTCAATCTTTTTTTGTAGAAGTAATTAAATCTTAAATATGTAGATATCTTAATCTTAGGGGTTGTTTGAGCCTCATTTTTCTCGAAAAAATACATTTTGAAATAGTGTTATGATGGAGAATGTGTGGTTAAAAAATAAGAAAAAATTTTGAGTATGCGTGTAACATTATTTTATTAAAAAATGTGTAATTGAAATGATATTAAAGTATTGTTGAAAAATGTATTTTGATGAAAAATGGGGCTCAAATAAGGGCTTAGTAAGTCCAATTAAAGAGGAAGAGTTTTTCATTATTATGATTATTCTTTAATGGTACTTCAGGTCAAGAACTGTTTGATGAATTATTA